AGGACTGTTTATAATATCAACTAGTGCTTGGAATGTGGACCATTCCTTTCAGGTTCATTACTGACTCTGTGTTAACTTTGTCCCTTCTATCACTATTCTCACAAAGCACATCCTGAGACCACTGTTGACTGAGTTAGTCTCAGTCTCATGTGTTTCCTCCAAATAGATCTTTGGTCTTGCTAACAAAGTCAATGGTAGAGTGCTTTCCACTGTGAGAGTCTGAGTAGGAAGCCCAAAGGAAGGTGGCTCCTCACGTGCTGCTTGGTGATTTTGGAAACACAGCTTTGCCCTGTATCTAGGCATATGTGGTACAGTTCAACACCCACACATTAAAGATGAGGAAATTGGAGCCTGGAGAGGTTTCAAGGGCCTTTTGAAGGCTGTGCCTTTTGTGTGTAAATCAGCAAAGAACATTTGAGTTCCACACCAGTTCTTCCCAATTCAGTTTTACTTTTTTTTTTTTTTTTTAGATTTTATTTATTTATTTGACAGAGAAAGAGCGAGAGAGGGAACACAAGCAGGGGCAGTGGGAGACAGAGAAGCAGGCTTCCCGCCGAGCAGGGAGCTCAATGCGGGGCTCGATCCCAGGACCCTGGGATCATGACCTGAGACGAAGGCAGACGCTTAACGACTTAGCCACCCAGGGGCCCCATTTTTTTTTAAGAGAAGAACCTAGAAATTAACGTCTTCCTCTCCTGCCTGTCTGCTCATTCATTTTCTTTGTCAAAATGCAACATTTACCCTTCAAAACAAAAACAGAACCTATGCAACCTCCCAGTACATTTCTACATAGAGTATTTGATCCTTACAAGAGCTCTGTCAGGTCAGAAATAATTTATCCACTTTACAGATAAGGAGGTAAGACCCAGAGAGGTTAAATTACCTGTCCAAGGTCATAGTGCTAATAATGCTAATAAGGAGTGGAGCCAAGGGCCCATACCCGGTCACTGCTGTCCCACAGGGCCACGTGTGTTCTGGAATCCCAGTCCTGACTTACGAGCTGTAGGTGAGCTCCTCAGTATTTTGGAAGTTCAGTTTTTCTCAGATACAGAAAGGAGATGTAGCAGTCTTTAGTGGGGTTAAATGGCACAACGTGTGTCGAGCTCGGGGTGCTGCCCTGGATGCCACAGTCTCTCCCTGGGTGTGGTGTGTGTATTTGAGGCTGCATGGTGGTGTCCTGTGCTTCTCGAGCACCTTCTCACGCGCGTGCTCTGTCTGCTGTTGGGCCTGCCTCAGTTGGCTCCTGGCTGTGGTGCTTGGGTAGATCTAGATCTCCTTCTAGTGTGGTCTGAAGTTCTGCTCTCTCCCTTGGGAGTTCTGGGAGACTCTTGGACTGGTCTAACCATTATTAAACTCTCTCCCCCCACACCCATCTCTTTAAATGAGCAGGTTCTTATCCCTATTCATAAAAATAGACATTTTTCACACAAAGGCCTATAGTTTCTTTGCAGGATGAAGCACAGAACGGCAGTGTTTCAAGAGATGAAGGCAGACATAGCCAGTGCGCCTGTGTCCCTGGCCGTGGGACCCTGGGGGGCTGCTGGTCTCCCAGCTGCCCTGGCTCAGGGCTCCACCCCCTGTCCAGCCTGGGCCCAAGTGGGAGGTGGGGGCTATAAACCGTGGCTCAGCCTCAGGCTCCCTCCTTCCCGGGTTGTTCACTCACCTCCACCCCATCCTGGGGGGCTCCTGTGCCTTCACAGGCTTCCTTAGAGAGAGCAAGCCAGCCCCTAACCCACATCCCACACTAGGCTGGATCCCCCTCGTTGCCGCCTGGAGGCAGCACCTTCTTCTCCCACTGAGTGTTTGGGGTTTTTGCCCCAGCAGGGCTCACTGGTTGGGTTTGCTGAGTTTGGGAGTTCAAGAAATTGTCTGCCACGCCCAATGAGTCAGTCGAGTAGCTGTCCAGAACTCAGGCAGAAGCTGGTGTTTGTCACTGAGGCAGGTGCTGGGGAGAGTGGCCTCCTCAAACAACAGAGAGCCTAAAACAATGTTTATATTTCCCACTTATTTCCACGAGGAAAACATGAAGAAAACTGTGGGTGCCTCTGAGTAATATGTTGTCCCCATGTTGTGGCTGAACCAGCCTGTGGTTAAAATAGGGGACCCCCTTCTCTGATGTTTGTGTTCTTCCATTTCCTTCATTTGGGGCTCAGTTATGCCATCAAGACATCAAGATAATAAAATGTGAGCAGAGTAGAACATACGCATCGGTAGACACTTTGGACTGCATCTGGAATGTTTTTTTCTGATTGCTGAAAGTTCTCCCGTCAGGACTTGAATGGTGATTATTTTTCTGTATATTGACCAGAATAATTTGACAGGGACATGCTGCAGGTAAACAGTTCTTTCTGAATCGATGTGAATAAAATCCCTTATGAGATGGGTTCAGTGTGTGTGCATTTTTTTTAAACAAAAAAAGATTGGATTGTTAGAGCTTCAGAGAAGAGTGAAGACAGCTGTGTTTGTTTTCTTTGGGAACTTAAATAAAAAGTCTTGTTTTAAATCCTTAATCTGAAGAGGCAAATTAATGTAACAAAATAAACAGAGGACATCACATTTACTTGAGTCCAGAACCTCTTGAGCGGTGCAGACGTCATGAGGAGTGGGGGGCGGAGTCCCCGGTGTCTTGGGGCAGCAGTTGGTTTTCCTGCCCCCGGGGGATGGCAAGGAAGCCCAAGCCAGGCCCTGCCTGGGACAGTCAAGGACACTCCTAGTTCACGTTAGTTCACCAGGAACACAGCAAGGCAGAAAAGCGTTCTGGACAGGAAGTGGGAACTTAAAACATTTGACACAAACAAAACTCATCCAGGATTTTATATTGTGATTTTAGCTGATTAAATTGGCACATTTGTAATGTTATAATTAACCTTCTGTACTACAGTGGAAGAAATGGGGAGACGGCGTCTCCTCCTTAAAGGCATTCTTGTGCTCCTGCAAGCGGCCAGGTCACTCCTGAGTGTAGACACGCTCTGTTGTTCTGCCGTTAGTCATTTTTCCCCTGGTTCTCTTAGGCTGGCTCCATGCCCCTGTGGCCGGCCAGTGGTGGCCTGGCCTTGGCTGTTGTGAGCACATTTCAGTGCCATTCTTGTTGTGGTTTCTAGCCCCTTAGTCACTGGGGTGGCTGTTTTGTACACTTAACCTAGTGTCGTCGCCTGTGTTTTGCATTCCCAGAGTGATTTTAACTTCAGAGGAGGGCAGGCAGTGTCTCTGCATCCTTGGCGTGTGCCTTTCAGTAATTTTCCTAGTGGTTGAAAATGTCATTACTGAGACTTAGACTTTTGCCTGGTTGGGACAAAGATGATGGTAACCGGAGTGCTTAGTGCCTTCTTAGTGTTTGCATAGAATAAAATCACACAGTCCCTATAGCAGTCCTAGAAGGAGGGACTGCCATCACCTCCACCCTACAGATGAGGACTCTGTGGCACAGAGAGGTTGAGTAACTTAGGTGAAGTCACACAGCACTAAGAAGTAGAGCTGGGATTTGAATGCAGGGAGTGAGGCGTTAAGAGTGTATGCTCTTTGCTACCAAGTGAATTTGCTGGACTGCTCGATGCAAGTGCAAATTGTATGTGAAATACGAGTACCTAGGGCCAGTCATTCAGATGGATTTAGAAACTCATTTGTGGGGACGCCTGGGTGGCTCAGTCGTTAAGTGTCTGCCTTCAGCTCAGGTCATGGTCCCAAGGTCCTGGGATGGAGCCCCACATCAGGCTCCCTGCTCGGCGGGAGGCCTGCTTCTCCCTCTCCCACTCCCCCTGCTTGTGTTCCCTCTCTTGCTGTCTCTCTCTGTCAAATAAATAAAATCCTTAAAAAGAAACTCATCTGTGTTTAACATTTCCAACAACTGCTAAAACAAATATCTCCTTGCCATCAAACGTAGAAAAACACAGTTCATATTGAATGGGGTTTTAGATTGGGAGAGAGAATCCTGTGATGTCAGTTCGGGAGATCTGTCTTATTAGCTCTTCCTCTCAGAACAGAACCTACCTACAACATTGAGGTGAACACTTTCCTAACTACACATTTGTAAGGATTTGGGAGGGTGTGGGAAAGAAAGGCCCCTGTCCAACATTACTTGTATTATATTCAGCCTACTAATTTAGCAACTGTCTTGCTTTGCCAGCCATTGGGCCAGAGTTTAGTTTTATTTTTAGTAAATGTGTGATTCTGTGGGTCTACTTATTTTACAACATAAAAGAATGTTGGATCTGGATGGGAGCCCAGAGGCCGCTGACCTGCCTCCCCTGTTTCTGGACTTGGCAGGTTTGTGCGGCTCCCACAGGCCGAGCTGGGCCCGGCCTTGGCATCGGGCTGCCTGGAAGTGCCGGGCTGGCCTGTCGGATCAGTGAGCACTATTTACTGAGCAGCTTGGCTACACTCTATGCTGGGCTTCAGAGCTGCACGATGAAAGAGGACAGAGAGGACCCCAGTCCCCTCCGTGTGTGCCATTTCTTTGTCATTATGGCAAATTATTCCCAAAGGTGTCAGTTTACGTTTTATCTGAGAGGTTGAGTTGTAAAAATCTACTTGAAATTCCAGTGATTGCTCAATTAAAGAAGTTCACCATACTGATTTAACTCACTGAGTGGCCTCTATTTAGTCTGAGACAGTGAAGTGTTTTGTTCTAGACTTTTGAAAATTTACATTGGGTAGAAAAACTCAAGATGGGGGGGCTCCTGGGTGGCTCAGTCGGTTAAGCGGCTGCCTTCAGCTCAGGTCATGATCCTGGGGTCCTGGGATCGAGCCCTGCGTCGGGCTCCCTGCTCAGCAGAGAGCCTGCTTCTCCCTCTCTGCCTGCCTCTCTGCTTACTTGTGCTCTCTCTCTATCTCTCTGTCAAATAAATAAAATAAAATCTTAAAAAAAAAAAAACTCAAGATGGTACTTGAGGCTACATACATGTAAACATATATTACATATGTGCCCACTGCAGCACGGGTGCAACACGGGGGAACTCCCTCCACTCATTTCACCTCCTCAGGTGGAGATGGCACCCCCATGAAAGCAGGGAGGGGTCTCTGCTTGCAGCCACGTGCTCCCTGCAGGGCCCTTCGAGCTCTGATGAATGGGAGAACCGTGTGTGACTTATAGCGGTGGAGGGACCTCCTGAGACCAGACCTGTTCCCTGGGCCCAGCAAGGCTTTCCTGCTGCCAGCATCACAGTCTTCGCCTGCCACCAGCTGATGTCCATGCTCTTCTTCCTGTAAGATCTGGAGGCAGAGAAGAAAAACTGTCTGGCTAGGACACCAAGGGCCATACTCGCATCGGGGCTGGACAGCGTGTGACACTTTGCCTGGGGCTTCTGCTCCGTGGACTTGGCTCATCATCCAGATGAAAGACCAGGTCCAGAGAGATAGCAGCCTCCGTCACCACGACCACATGTGGAAAGGAGAGCCAGACAAGTCTGTGTGGTGAGAATGAGGCCCCCTTGTCCTGCACTGCCGAGGGCACGATTAAGTGCAAGGTACCTGAGTCCGCTTGAGATTTTCTCCATCACATCATGTGGCGCCTTTGTCCATGTGACTCTTGAGACATCCTGAGAGACACCATTGCAAAAGCAAAATATTAGAACTTGGTTATTTATTGATATCCATGAACAGAATAAAAAATTGTTCCTACTTTCTAGGCTGCTGCTTTAAGTATAACTGAAAGGGGGAGAGTGTTTGCTTTTCTGGGGCACTGTATGGCAGCTGACATTTATTCTAGCATTTTTTTATTTAATAAAGGAATCTGAAAGTATGTTTAAAGTGCTCCTTTCAGGCTAAAAAGTAGAAGCTTCTTCAGAGGGAAGGAGGCAGCTCTGTACCAGCAGCCTCCAACTTCCTCAAGACCAGATGTGAGGGAGAATGCAAGCTGTGACTGGAACAGGGACCGGAGTGCTCCACTGGAAACATTTGCAGGCTCACATCTGGGGGGAGAGCTTCCGTGGCCCTGCCCGCAGAAGCTCCTCGTGGACCGTGTTGTGTTTCTCCTGGGATGGAAAATGCTGCCTACGATATCCCATGGTGAGAGAGAAGCCTCAGGTGACATGGTGTGAGGCCTGGCCAGGAGTGATCTGGAGTTACCTGGTGGTGAGAGGGCTTGGCGGCAAGTGTGTGCTTTTAATCGTAAGTCTCCATCTGATACCTCATCACCCCACAGCAGGTGAATTTTTGTGTTCAACCCTTTTGACTTTCTGTCTTGTACCTCTTGGAGAAAAATGACTATCTTGATCAGATTATAATTCTCCCCACAAAAAGTTTTATTTAGCAAAATAAAAAGCATTATATTATTTGTATCCGTATTCTCCATTTTTTATACTTCCCCACCAGATGACTTCGTAGCTTATCATAAGTATATGTATATATATATATATATATATATATATATACACACACACACATACAAACAATATCAATATCATGTCTTATTAAATAATCAAAGTTGAAATTAAAAGCCCAGTAAAAATAGCTTTTATGTTTGCATCACTGTGAGCTATGTATCTGGAGCTTCTAGGAGGTGTGTCTTTTATGAATTCCCCCAAAGTGATACCTGCTTTGCAATGCATGTCAGGGTTGTTGTCAAGATGACAGTGACAAAAGACCACATTCTCAGGTGCATCCAGCAGTTGGCATAAGGCTGGAGATCATTCTCTCTGCACATAACTGCATAATGGATGCCTCTGTGAAGTTGGGAACAAAACTGTAGTTGTGTGAAATGGCGCCAGAATGTTTCTTTAACAAATCTGTCCATTGCTTATGATAAAGCAAGTTCACAGAACTAAACAGGCGAGAAGACTTCCAAGTGCTTCTTGACATCGTGAGTGATGTTGCTTTAAACTTTCCTGCAATCAGGTGGCATAATTCTGTGTATGTGAGTGTTAACAAAAACCGTGATGAAAATCTTCTTTCCCACTATTACAATCAGATTGGCATCTTATTTTTATGGGTTGTGGCTGATGGGTTGTAACTTCCAAAATGTTGATTCTTTTTCCTATGGAGTTGTGTAGCACCTGAGAGAACAGATTGTTAATGGGGATGGGTAAATTACCAAACTCCCATTGCACCTAATTATGTTGCGGTGACTTAGGGCGAATTTTTCTTCACTTTAGTCCCACAGCCTGTGTGCACTGAAAATTACCCGCAAATTGTTAAAAAATAATATTCACTGGGTGCCTGGCATCTCTCTTCCTTTTTAAGTCAAATGACCTGACACACATGAGATGGGGTAACCAACAGGTTTAACACGCAAGACCAAGGCTCAAATTAGTAATTTTTAGAGTGTCCAGTTTGGAAAGTATTTGATTAAACGTTTAATGGTATGCAAAGCACTATATGCTATACATAAATATAAAATATATTCAGAAAAATATAAAGAATGTTGTGATATTTTGCCCACTGGAAACAAACAGTTTTGTTTGGGGGAGATAACTCCAGTTAACTGTAATAATTGATTTAATACAGTACAGGAGTCAGTAAGAACTGTGAAAGACCACATAGTAACTATTTTAAGCTTTGTGGGCCACATATAGTCTAAGCTCTGGGCGGGGGCAGAAAAGCAGCCCTAGATAATCTGTAAATGAGTGGGGAGAAGGCAAGGCCAGGTTGCAGATGAGAGGGGAGGAGGTCCCTGTGTGCCATGGACAGGGTAGGAGGAAGGACAGTGACGTGCCACTTGAAGGGAGAAGTGGGGGGGGGTGTTCTTAGAGAAGTGGTCGGGAAGGTCCTTTCTTGACACCAGAAGAAGGGGGTGGTTGTGAAATTGGCACATTCGAAGTGGTTTTAGTGTAGATAAAGACATGGGCAACCATCACCACCATCAGTATAGAACATTTCCATCACCTCAGGAGGATACCCCACGCCCTGTATTGCCACTCCACCCCGCACCTCTACCCCTCACCCCAGCCCTGAGCAACAGCGCTTCCTCTGGGCTTTCAGATGAATGGGGTCACATAGCATGTGGCCTTTAGTGACTGGCTTCTTTCACTCAACGTAAGGTTTTCGAGGCTCATCCATTGTAGCATGAATCGGTGCTTCATTCCCTTTTAAGTGTGAGTACCATTGCACAGGTATACCACATTTTGTTCATCCATTCATCATGGATGGGCACTTGGGTTGTTCCTACCTCTACCTTTATTTTTAATGATTGTATAGAAAAATGAATATAGGGGCACGTGGGTGGCTCAGTCATTAAGTGTCTGCCTTCGGCTCAGGTCATGATCCCAGAGTCCTGGGATCGAGCTCCACATCGGGCTCCCAGCTTGGGGGGAAGCCTGCTTCTCCCTCTCCCACTGCCCCTGCTTGTGTTCCCTCTCTCGCTGTGTCTCTCTCTGTCAGATAAATAAATAAAATCTTTAAAAAAGAAAAAGAAAAATGAATATACACTCCTCATTTTGAGAACGAAGTCATCCTTTTTCTCACATGACAACTAGCTGACAGAGGGAAAATACTGGCATAATGCTGAGTCCCTTGGAAAGAACGTGTCCTGCACAGCTTCATTAACTCCTTACCAGACCTGGGTCCAACTCAGCGTTTGATCACAAGACTTTCCCAAGTTTTCCTGGCCAGTGAACAATTATGGGTAATGTAGAGTCCAAAGACCATGTTCTGGTGCATCAGATGAGTGCATGATGCCCAAAAATAAACACCGAAAGCTTTAGAACAGTTTGTTCTGCCTGTGCATGGACACAATATGCCAAGTCTGTATGTCAGGATATTCTAATAAAAATTCCGCAGGACACTAGATTCATGGATAGTCGCTGTTGGTGAACCGCCCCCAAACTTGCCCACACTCTTGCAGTCCATGGAATTCCTAAAGTGTGGCTCAAGTGCTTTTATCACAGACCTCGTTTGGGAACTCAGCATCAGTCAGCTGCAAAGCACAGGTGATATATAAACCAGGAGATGCTGGTTCCTGTACCTCTCACCTCTGGCAGGACTTTTGAAAGCCCAGGCTAGGATCTCCCTTGGATGCACCCCTTCCCAACTTCCCATACTCCCAGACCCCCGTTTGCCTTTGTAGTTGTGAACCACCACCCTGCGCTAGGCCCTCCCTGACCCCTCTCCCCTGGCCGGCTCCACACCCTGCCATCCCCTCCTGGCTTGTGAGGGGCAGGTATGCTTTTTTCCTGGTGGTCCATTCTGGTGCCACCTGACCTCCCCAGCGGCCATAGTTCTTGGCTGAGCTGTCAACTGATGGCAGGCGTGTCACAGCTACTTGTAATGGAAAAGCGCACTGATATGCCCGGGTCTGTGTGAGTCTGAGGAAGAAGGGTATCCGATCCAGCAGCTAGTGAAGGGCCAAGTTTAAGGGTGTGGGGCATCCCCTCAGCAGAGGGCTGTGCTGAGTGAGGCTGTGCCTGCACACTGAGGCCTGTGCTGTGTATCTTTCACACTGGAAACAGTGTGTGCTTAGTAAATACTGGAGCTGATGTATCATTAGGCCAGGTGGTGTGCTTTCTCCTCTCCACCCCAAAGACTGCTTGGCATGCGGGAGATACTTCCTAGTATTGAGTGCCCAGAGTATGGCAGTCAGGCCAATGAGAACAGGAGTTCACAGAGCTCTGGATGCTAAACAGAGGATTTCTTGCTTACTTACTACAGACTCTTTTTTTTTTTTTTTTAAATGCGAGTTGGAAAGGAAAAGAAGGAAAAGTGCAAGAGAGGGAGAAAGAAGAGGAGTCTGTGGTATGAGAAGGCAGGGGAAAGACGTGGCCCATCTCTGGGATCCCTGCTGCAGATTTGAAGGCATGCAGCTTTGTAGAAGCAGGGTAGTGAAAAGGAAAAAGTGAACCGATTTTTAAAAGGAACCCTGAGATTTTGGCTCCTTGACTGAAAAGGGAAGTACTTTACAAATGTATCTGCAGCTGGCAGATGGTTAAAAAAGAAGGCGAATTTGGTTCTCTGTGAAGTGAGGGAAGCTCTTTGGAGACAGGAATAGGTAAATAACAGATGTCTTCATCTGCCCCCTCCCTCCAGTGTTCAGGAGGCCGAGAGGTAAGGAGAGCCTCTGTAAGTGGGGGACGTGTGCCAGGCTGCAGGTGTCCTCCCGTGCCCCGGCGGGGGGGCTGTCAGTGAGGAACCCGGGACTCAGCTGAGCATCCCCTCCCGCCCCCAGTCCCAGGACAACCCTAGCCCTGCAGACCGCAGTGTCTGCTGTTGGCTCCAAGCACCCAGCCACTGTGTGTCTCCACCCCTCCCCGGCCTGGGCATTTAAAGAGCTGTCTGTTTTATTTGGGAAACCCACGTTCTTTGGAGACCTGTTTAATTAAGTTCCCATTTGCACCTAATGCTGGCATACATGGTGGATTTCTCTCTTTGGAGCTATTTTTAGGTCGTTTTCTGGAAAGATGCCTCTTTCCCTGCAGGCAGCCTCTGACTATGTGCCAGATAGCTCAGCTTTTGCGTTTTATTTTTCTGAGGACTTACTATTTTTGTGGGGTTTTTTTAGTGCTTATTTGACCTGGACTTCTGATAAGGTGTTTAAAAATAGCTTTTGGGCCTCCTGTGGGCTATCGGCCTTTTAGAATTACTCTTCCAATTTAAAATACCTGCTTTTTGTCATCACTTCATTCTGGAATGGAGTAAGTCCAGATATTTGGAAGATTTCTCTAATTGCCCTTCCAGCTTTGGGTGTTGACTGGCCTTGTTACCTGATGCCCATCCCACAGTGTAAAGGGCCAGGCAACCTGTCCCATCTTGTGGACCTTCGAGAAACTGACACTAGAAACTTACGCAGACAGGTTGCCGTTTGCTGGTCTGTAGGTCTGTGTCTTTTTCAATAGCTGGAATCCATGTTATCATAAGGGTCTACAGGAAGTGTTTCTAGGTCATTTCCTTCAAAGCCTCCTTTGTGGAATGAGGAATAGAGGCCAAGAGGGGTCAAGTCTCACTCAGGGTCACACAGCTGGTCAGTTAGGCAGAGCTGGCTCTCTGGAATCCCTAGAAGTTGTGTCAGGTGGCATTTGGGGTGGTCAGTCCCTGAGACCATCACAGGGCACCTCTGAGAGGGGATGATGGTCGAGACTGTCCCCTGCCTGGGGGTGCTGTCCCGCCCTTCCTAGGCCCCTAGCCTCCCTGGCCTGCTGGGGCTGGCTCACAGCTAGCTCATCCTCCCCCTCTAGCTTGGCATTTCACCGTGGCCTGGGTCCTGTCCCTGACATTCACTGTCGTTTCATCCTGGGCATACAGCCTCCAGCCCTGAGCCTGGTTCCTGCACCTCTGTTCTCCCCTGGGGCCCTGTTGGGGAGAGGGGAGCAGACATTCCTATCTAGTCTGTTTGGAGAGTATCTGGGACCAGCTGCTTGAAACATGTGCAGAGAAGGCCCTGGCTTGTCTGCCTGTAGGGTGGCTCAGGCAGTGGAACTAGATTTGGACAATGTGCATAGGACCTGGGCTTGCAGCTGCAGAAGTAATGCTGTTTTTTTTTTGGTTTGTTTGTTTTGTTTTTTTTTAAAGATTTTATTTATCCGACAGTGAGAGACACAGTGAGAGAAGGAACACAAGCAGGGGGAGTGGAAGAGGGAGAAGCAGGCTTCCCGTGGAGCGGGGAGCCCGATGCGGGGCTCGATCCCAGGACCCTGGGATCATGACCTGAGCCGAAGGCAGACGCTTAACGACTGAGCCACCCAGATGCCCCAGAAGTAATGCTGTTTTGTGATCACAGGCTGTGCCCTGAACTGCATGGCTCAGGTCTGGGCACAGTGACTAGAGTAGATCCTGGTGGGTGCAAGGTTTACCCCAGCAGGGGCCGGGGGAGCTGCACCTCACACCCTTCCCAGGCCCACTGAGGCCGAGGAAGACAGAAAACCAGGGCTCAGCATGGTGGACCGCACCACTACTTATGGTCTGACTCCTGACTTGTGGGGCCACAGTCCTGGGGTAGGTGAGCCCCGACAAACATCCTCTGAGCCTGGGCACGGGTGCGTAGAGGCTGCGGTTAGTGTCCCAGCGCTGGCCCTGCCTGGGTCTCCTGCTTGGGAAGCCAGCATGAAAAAGTGTGTAAAAAACCCTGGAACAAGGAGGAGAGTGATCACAGAAGAAAGGAAGAGCCTTTGCCTGCTGTGTGCATACAGGCCCTGCACTTGCGCCTTGCACTGGGTCCCCCAGGTTAGGTAGGTGGCCCCTGGTGGCCTCAGTTATTTGCGATCTAGAAGGTAAAACCTTTTCGTGGAGTTGGGCCTGTGGTTAGTGAGGAGCTGGCCTCTAGTGTGGCTGCCCTGCGGCTGGACTCCGCAGCAGCACCCCTGTTGGTTTTCCGGGCGGGCAGGCAGTCTCTGGAACGTGGTGCCCGGTGGCTGGCATTTGCTCTCTCTCCATGACCAGCACACTCGGAGGTCCCTTCTAGATGCCAGGGACAGCAGGAACCTCAGGGACTGTAAATGGCATTGACTGCATGTGTTTAAATGAAAAAACAAAACAAAGCCACAGTCTAAACCCTGAGATTACAGCTGCAGTAAGTGTACACAGCAGTAAAATTTATGCCCCTAAAGAATAAATTCCCAACAGTGCAAGGCAGGGATTACTTTAAAAGTCTGCCTGGGTGGCTCAGTCATTGAGCGTCTGCCTTCGGCTCAGGTCATGATCCCAGGGTCCTGGGATCGAGCCCTGCATCGAGCTCCCTGCTTGGCGGGAAGCCTGCTTCTCCCTCTTCCACTCCCCCTGCTTGTGTTCCCTCTCTCGCTGTGTCTCTCTCTGTCAAGTAAATAAAAATAAAATCTTAAAAGAAAAAAAAGTCCATGTGATGAATAATCTAAAAATAAAACTCAGCTTGGGGTGTGCAGGGAGGAAGGGGCCCGATGGACTGCCTCACTGGCTCTCAGTGTGTGCCTTGCAGGGGACATTTGGCAATGTCTGGAGACAGCTAAGGGGGGGGAAGTTTGCTGAGCATCCTCCAGTGCATATGACAGACCCTACCACAGAGAAATGTCCCTGGTGCCAAGGCTGAGAAACAGCATCTCTCTTTAAAGAGACTGTGGGGCAGTTGCCCTGACAAAGTGGGGAGCCCCTCCCTGACAGCCTGCCCTGGCATCCTGCTCACCTCATCTGCTCTAGTGCTCAGTTCTGGGTGCCGCTTCTCATCCCCACATTATCTGCTCCATCACCAGGCCCTTCAGGGCCCAGAGCAAAGAAGAGGAGAAAAGCCTTTTCCTTGTTGGTGGTCTCTCTCCTGGGGTTTTCTATTTGCCATGGGGTTTTCTATTTGCCATGGGGTCCTGCAGACCGTCACAGTCTGGGGGCACCCCGTGGCTTGGTGCAGGGCTGTGTGGCCAACGCAGCCTCCCAGCTCTGTTGCCCAGGCCGTTGGGGACGGATGGTGGGAGGGAGTGGGGAATGGCCCTGGGGACAGAGAGACCCCGGAGGCAGGTGGGACCAGCTGAACGGCAGCAGGTCCAGCCCCTCTACATGTGGATCTCGTGAGTGAGAGTATCTGTTTACCTCTTCCTCAGCTCACCCTGCAGAGCTTCTGAGCTTCTGAGCACACTGCTCAGAGGGCACAACCACAGTGGGGTGTAAACAGGGGCGTGCATGCTGGTGCCTTGGGAAGCCAGCATAAATGCTGCCTTCCCAGCAGATGACTTCATGTTCCTTAGAGGGACAATCATGCCCTCCTAAGAGAATTCTGTCCAGTGCTGCTAAGCCAGCAACATCCCACCGATTTGTCTAACAGGTTTGAAATCAGTACCAAGGCACATGGAGTCAGAAAAGAATGTCGGTTGAGAGGCAGCTGTTTTAAAGAAAGTCATTGGTTATACTTCCCAAGAAAATGGGGGACACAAGCAATGACTGCGGGCCACATTTGGATTTGCATTGAGGCCTGGCTAGGTTTGTTACTGCGGGGCTCACAGCAGGCATGGAGATGGTCCCTGAGAGGCTCGCTTGGCCCAGTGGTCATTCAGAGAGGGTGGCCACCTCCGCCCCTTGCCCACCCTCACAGGACAGAATAAGGGGATGCAATCACAGCTGGTGGAGTGGAGGGAGGAAGGCAGCTCCCTCCTCCTGGACCTCACAGGGTCACCCTGAGCCCTTCTGTGGACAGCAAGCCCCTGGCCTGGTGTCGGCCTCGGCAAGGCTGCCCCGAGTTTCCCAGCCTATCATGGCCCCACAAGCCTGGAGCGTCCCCTGTTTTCAGGTCTAGTGTAGGCAGGGTCCTGAAACCTTTTAAAAGAGAGCCTGAAGGGGAATTCTCCGGTGACTGCATTTCAGCTGTTCCAGGGGCCTTCCATCATCTGAGATTTCCTGATGTGAAGCCCTGACTAGATGCGTTCGACTTACCGTTTGGGTGGTGTCTTCTCTCCCTGCCTCCACCCTCGAGATGCCGTTTGCACCACCTGCCTCTGTGGTGACAACCAGAACTGTTTGCAGAGACCCTGCCAGCGCCTGCCAGCAGGTGACTTGCCCTTGTTTGATCCGGTCATTAACTTGTTTCTCAAGTCCCTGTATTTTCTCCAAATTGGAAATGGGACCAAACTAAGGCTTCATTACATTCCAATTAAATGATACGCCAAGCCTAACCTTTAAAGTAGAGCAGCTTATGTGACCGTGTACACTCACAACGAAAATAACTTTTGGGGTGGAGCAGGGCACGTGTCTGCCGTGGGCGAGAGCGGCCACGTGTCTGCCGTGAGTTTCTCAGACACCTTCACGGAATGCACTCTCTTCAAAGCTCAGCAGGGCTGTTGCCTCGTGTCTGGATGCCTTGCTTGCTTGTTGGTCATGAGGGCCGCCCGCCTCTGCACTGTGCCCCCAGCAGCGTTTCCCTGGGGCGGGCAGAAGCTCTGTGTATGCGTGTCCCGCCACTGTCCGACCCTCCAGCTCAAGGGGTCTCTTTGTCCTGTTTTTCCATAGAAACCAATGGAAGGTTCTGCATTATTTGTTCACTTAAAAGAAAAAAGCAGATGTGTGTTTCTCTCAGCTCCGTGGAATACTGAGATGATCATACTTTAAAGTGCTTGAAGGCCAGCCGGTAGCGGGGACCACTGGGGGACTCTCACCTGGACTCCGAGGCTGCCCTTCAGGCTCTGTGGCCACTCTCTGGGAATTTCATGAGCCAGAGTGCGTGAATGGGAGGGCAACAGGCCCTCCCGGCCTGGGAATTCTGCTCTGTGTCCAGGGTTGTTCCAGGGACTCAAGGGGTGTTCTGAACATGTCACGAACTAGGGGATTTGTGGCAGGAGAGACCCAGGGTCACTTAATTCTTGCAGGTCTGTCCCTGTACCAGCACCAAAGTTAATCGAGATCATTCTTAACACCTTCTGCCCAGCTTGCATTTGGGTTAGTAAGTCTGTTTCGTGGCTGAAATCGAGCTTGGCACACCTGTGTGGCTGGGCTCCGCCTTCTCCGGAGGTGAGAGTCCCACGTGAGCCCTCAGGTGCCCGAGGCGGGGCCTGGCCCGCCCCAGCTGGAGGAAAGGCTGTGGGGCTGGGTGTGCTTCTCTGAGGAGGGGTGCTGTGGCTGTGTGAGGTTACAGAGGGTGGAAAACGGGGGGGACGAGGGTGCAATGGTGAGAGAAGACGGAGCGCCGTGTTTTATAATTATCCTGTCATTGAGTGTAAACAGAGAGGTCTGTTTACAGAGGTTCGTTTTTATGAGCTACAATTATTATTTCTGGATAATTCTGGTATATGGTAATCATTAGAGTAAGCTGTGTATCTGATTAAATAAAGAATTTGTCTTTAATTTATGCCAATTTAAAGATGTCTTCTGTGTTCTCTGTCTCTGGGGGAGGGGAGGCAGGTTGCTATGGAGACGGCATAAGAAAAAGAGACAGCAAGGAAGCTTAGCAGTTTCGATTTGGAAAATATTTGTGATGTAGGTAATTATATATGTAATAATGTTATGCAGCAGAACCATCTGCCTTTGGAAAGATGTGTGTCATGGAATTTTACAGTAAAACAGTTTCTATAAGGCAAAAAGTGCTATTTGTGTGTATTAGGATATTGAAATTGTGAACAATAAAGATGCAGTGGAGCCCTGAAGTTGTTTGCAGGGACGCAGCTGCTGCGTGCTGGCACGTGCCACCTACAGAATTTGGGGAGCTATCTCGCTTAGAAATAAAACATTTATGTAGTAAGGCTTACCTGCAACTAAACTGAGTATGTAACTAAATCAACTTTAGTCTGGTTAATAACTGAATCCCTACCGCCATCCTTAACCCTACCCCTAGTTTTAGAATTCTGATGTGATTGGAAAGACAAAGCATGGGACTTGTTAAATGTAACAGCTCAGCACACATCTATCGAATGCCTGTGCCAAACACTGAGCTAGCCACTCAGCCTTGATGGAGCTTGTACCCTGAGTTTAAGCTCTACTAAGACAGGATATAACTATCCTGTGGTTCCTAAGTGACTCCCCTAGCAGAGCTGAGGTTTTAGTTCCTATCTTGTGGTGGTAGGTTTGAGATGGATGCATACTCACGGACACTCCTGCCATCCAGAGGTGGGGGCGTATTCCTTCCCCTTGAACCTGGACTCTGTGGCAGCTTTGACCCATAGATTATAGCAGACGTGACTCTGCCAGTTTCTGGGTCCAGCCTTCAGAGACCGGCAGCTTGCACTTTGTCTCTTGGAACACTTGGCCTTGGAACCAGACCATCCTATGAAGAAGCCCAAGTAGCCCTGGGGAAAGGCCCTTGTGGGGAGGAGCCAAGGCCCCCAGCTGATGGTCTTGGCTAAGCTCCGACAGTCAGCATCATGTGCCTGCCCCGCGAGTGAGCTTCTCACAGGCAGATCCTCTGGCCGCAGCTGACCTGCAAGGTTGTTCTCATGGGAAACAGAGACACACTGTTCCTGCCAAGCCCTGTTCAAGCTTCATGTTTGTAAGCAAAGCTGGCTGTTGCTTTATGCCACTGAGTTTGGGGCTGGTTGGTCTTTCAGCAATAGATAACCAGGACGCTTAGTTGTTTCTCTAGCGTCTCTACTGTTGTTCTGGGAATATGCCAGTGTGAAATAGTCTTTTCATAGGAAATGAGGTAAAAGATACTTGCCTAGGTCATACACATGGTTGACAGATGTCCCAAGGGTATAATGCACAAGCAACTCCAGCAATAGGCAAATTCAGGATAATTATCTCTCACCAATAACTTTTGTTTTACTGATCTGCTAGAGAAGATCCTGAAAGAGGGCCAGTGTGGGTGGATTGAGAAGGTCTGAGCGATCTAGGTCACCTGACAGAAGTGCGTTTGGCAGAGGGGCTCCCATGGAGGTCCAGCATCGATGGGGATGCACCCAGAGTGGACAAAGCTGACCATGGCATCAGGTTTCGCAAATCAAGCCCACACACTTTGCCCCTCTTTTCCTAAATGCTCCAAGTTGGATGAGGTCTTTTTGTGGGCACAGCCAGCATTCTCAGTGTGCTAGTCTGGGGTTGGTTCTATGTTTACTTAGCCACCTGCTCATCCTAAGGATGAGCATTTGGGCCTTTGGTGAGAGTAATTTATGCAAAGGGTGAAGAGGACCGATCAGTTCTGTCTTTCTCCCTCCGCACGGTGGTCTGGCTGCCGTTGTTGTGTAGCTGAGGCCTGATGGTCTGATATCCTCTGGAGTCATGAGGTATTTCTGGACTATAGGAAAACCAAGAGGTCATCAAATTTTGAAGTTCCCTCCGGCCAGGTCATGTGCAGGTGATTTCGGCAACCTGACCAACTTTTGGCTACAGGGATGTGCTAACAAATGCGTAATGGTCAGTTCTCTAGAAAAAAGCCCTGATAGCATATGCCAGTTTGGGGTATAAATACATCCATCACAGCGTATGCCAAGCCACCAACATGCTGTCACTGAGTTGGGGAGAGATGTGCGCATTAGTACCTGGCCCAGTGCTGGTGGCTCTGGCCCCGGTCCTGGGCGCGATGAGGGAAGAGGTCAGTGTGAGGTGTGTGTGCATGCGTGTGGCTTCTGTGTCATGTTATCTGAGTCAAGGGTTAAGCTGTCCCCGGGCAGGTTTTCCTTCCTTTTGAGCTTTCTGTCCACTCTTTATTTTTGGTGTTGAAATCGCTTTTGTTTTATGAGTTGATTTGTTATTTTTACTGTGGTAAAATATGCATAACACAAAGTTGACCACTTTAGCCATATGTAAGTGTGCAGTTCAGTGGCATTAACATTCATGTTATTATGCAACTACCACCATGATCCATTTCCAGAACTTTTTCATCATCCCAAACAGAAACCCTATATGCTTTTAACAATTGTTCCTCATCCCCTCCTTTTCACCCAGCCCCCTAGTAACCTCTTTTCTACTTTGTCTCTCTGAATTTGGCTGCTCAAATAAGTGGAATCATACCATATGATGTAGCACGTGTCAGAATGTCCTTCCTTTCAAAGGCTGAATAGTATTCCATTGTATGTATAGAACACATTTTGCATGTCTGTTTATTCATCAATGGACATTTGGGTTGTTTCCACTTTCGGGCTCTGTGAATTATGCTTCTGTGAACATGGGTGTACAAGTATCTATTTGAGTCCCTGCTTTTATGTTTTTTGAGCATAAACCTAGTAGTACTATTCTAAGACTTTTAATGCAACTGGTCCTTTTGAGTCCAAAATGGGGAACCACTGGTCTTCTCAGTTTTTCATTCTTATCTGTGGGAATTGAGCCCAGAGAGGCTACATGCTATTTCCAAAGTTGCCCGGCTAATGAGTGGCATGGTAGGTACTGGAATCCAAGTCCTTGGGGGACAGTGTTGGCTGGAGTGACATGAACCGAACAATTGGAATGAACATCTGAGCTTGGAGCAAATGGTCTGAGCAGGGCAGTTAGCAGATTTTTTCCTGACACCTCCTGGCATGGGCAGGAGGAAACTCTCCACCAACCCTGTCTCAACTCAGGGAGCTATCTGGGCCGGGCTGGACAAAGTGGGGAGGTGGAGTCTGCTGAGCTTCTTCCAGGCGAGGAGTCAAGGGGAGGAAGTTGGGTTTCCTACTGAAGTTCTCTTGGTTCAGGGAGGGAGAAACGCTACAGAGCTTTTGACTGTCCCCGTTTTTAAAACATAGTATTTTATTTTTTAAAGATTTGTTTATTTGAGAGAGAGAAAGTATGTGTGCATGTGCACACATGCACACATACACGTGTGAGCGTGAGCATGGGGAGGAGCGGGGGGGGGATGGAGAAAGAGGGAAAAGAATCTCAAGCTGACTCTGCATTGAATGGGAGCCAATGCAGGGCTTGATCCCAGGACCCTGAGATCATGGCCTGAGCTGAAACCAAGAGTCAGACACTTAACCGGCTGAGCCACCTGGACATAGTATTTTAAATTTAAAAATCAATTTATAAATCCAGGTAAGAAACTTTCTTTTTAAAATTGAA